TTGGGAGTTAACGTTATATGGGGCTATACAAAAACGTGGACCTATACATACAATGTTTCGCCATACAAGCTAGAACCCATTTTACCCTACAAATACCAATTAATAGACAAATCCATGAAAAAATCCTGAAAATACCGAATATCGGGGTGTAACCTTGTATGGCGGCTATACCGAATCGTGGACCTATACATACAATGTTCCACCACACTAGCTAGAACCCATTATGACTTATACAGGTTGAGATGAAAACACTGCAACTATTGAAATTCCAATAAGTGCAAGAACTTACACCACAACAGAAAGAAAATAGACTCAAAAGAACAAAAGAGTTGCTTCGCTTGGCCGAAAGTGGTGAACTGCCGAATTTGGGGTTCTCCGATGAGAAAAATTCATTGTCCAGTAGTTTGTAACCAAAAAAAAAAAAAATACCAAAGTGTCGAACACCTCAAGCAAGCGCTTCGCCGGGAATGGGCCAAAATACCGCAGAGTAACGTTCGAGCAACGTGTGACGGTTTCATTGGCCGTTTGAAGGCCATAATTCGTGCCAAAGGTGACCGATTCGAACAAATCTAAACTTGATGTTATTTCTGACATTTTTGCTTTGATTTAATAAAATTAAAAACAAGGATGTAAAAATTATGTCGTTTGTCTTTTGTGCAGTTTTTTTTTTATCTCACCCTGTATATGGGGCAGGTAGCAAAAGAAATTGTCCGATCTATCTTCACACCAGACCTTGTGTTAATAAAAAATACTGTGATGTGTGTAATTTGAAGAGAACCGGACACTTACATCTTACACTTTGTATTAGAGTTAAATTATTCAAAATGTTGACCCTTTGTGGGTGAGGTACTTAACGGAGCGGACCTATATTGTCCATTTTCTCACCTGACTTAGCACTGAGGCAAATATGAGGATTTGCAAAAGTGGATCAAAATTGGATCATCGTTTCTCTTTCTGTGCAGAAAATATGTTTTTTTGAATTTCGACCTATTGTGGGGGAGGTACCAGAAGGAGTGGACCAATCTATTCCATCCATTCCATTGGGTAAACAAAAATATTGGGATGCGTGAAATTTGAAGACAATCGGACTTTTACATCAAGTTTTATGAGAGTTGTAATTATTCAAAATGTTGACCCTTTGTGGGGGAGATACTTGATGGAGTGGACCGATATTGTCAATTTTCGCACCTGATCTAGCACTGACGCAAATATTAGGATTTGCAAAAGTGGATCAAAATAGAATCATCGTTTCTCTTTCTGTGCAGAAAATATGTTTTTTTTTAATATCGACCTTTTATGGGGGAGGTACCAGAAGGAGTGGAACGATATTGCCCATCTCCCAACTCGATCTCAGTTTGACAAAAATATTTCGATGTACAAAGTATGGACCAAATCGTGTGCTTCCTTCGAGACTTATCGTGAGAACCACCAGCCAAACCCCATACGGACGGACATCGCTAGATCGACTCAAATTCTCCTGAAACCGATTTGGTCCAAAGAGACCTAGGGTCTAAAACGGTTATTTCGACTAGGCATGTTTTAACCATATCAAATAATATATACCCTCTCTAGCCATATAGCTGAGTGTATAAAAATCTGTAAGTTCAGTCGGGGCGGACTTTGAACACACTCCACCATTTGCGACGAGTTTGGAATATCTCTGAAAAATAAAATCAGTTAAAAATTGTATAAAAACTTCAAAATACTAGAAATTTAAACGCTAGAGTTAAAACAACTAACGATAGGAAGCCAAAATTTCGCACAGATCAGTCTTTTGCCTGCAGGCAGGTCAAGTTTTAAGATGGGCTATATCAGTCCACGATATCGTATAGCCCCCGTATAACGGTTTCCCGATGTTCGGTATTTTGATGATTATAGCCAAATTTTTCAATGAAATTGACTGAAAATTTACCAAAGGAGTTCCTTCTGACTACCTTACACCCTGGAAGAGTATTGTCTATGTAGGTCCACGATATCGTATATCCCCCATACAAAGGTCCCCCAATATTCGGTATTTTTACGATTTTATCACATTTTTTAATAGCATTCTCCATACTAGAAGTTCTTTCTAAGCACTTTACTCCCGGAAAACAAATGCCCATATGGGTCCACGATATCATATAGCTCACAAAAAACGGTGCACGGTGGACATTGTTCACCTGAATTGTTTCAAATTTGGTATTTGAAGTTCGTAATGAATACTACAGCCTATGAAAGAAAATTGTCTATATAGGCTCAGGTTTTCGTATAGGCCCCACATAACGGTACCTCCAGATATTCGGTACTTTGATGATTTTAGTGACATTATTCTCCGGAATTGTTTCAAATTTGGTATTTGAAATTCGTAATGGGAACTACAGCCTATGAGAGAGAATTGTCTGGGCAGGTCCACTTTTTCATATAGCCCCCATATAACGGTACCTCCCGATTTTCGGTATTTTGGTGATTTTAGCGACATTATTCACCGGAATTGTTTCAAATTAGGTATTTCAAGTTCTTAGTGGATACTACAGCCTATGAGATAAAATTGTTTATGCATGCCCAGGTCTTCATATAGACCCGATGTAACGGTACCTCCCGATATTCGGCATTTTGATGATTTTAGCGGTATTATTTAGCGGAATTGTTTTAAATTTGGTATTTGAAGTTCGTAATGGATACTACATTCTACGACAGAAAATTGTCTGTGCAGGTCCATGTCTTCGTATAGCCCCCACATAACGGTATCTCCTGATATTCGGTATTTTGATGATTTTTACGGCATTATTCAGCGGAATTGTTTCAAATTTGGCATTTGAAGTTCTTAATGAATATTACAGCCTATGACAGAAAATTGTCTATGCAGGCCCAGGTTTTCGTATAGCCCCGATATATGAGTACCTCCCTATATTCGATATTTAGATAATTTTAGCGACATTATTCAACGGAATCGTTTCAAATTTCGTATTTAAAGTTCGTAATGGATAGTAGAGCATAGGACAGAAAATTATCTTTGCGTGCCCAGGTCTTCGTATAGGCCCCACATATCAGTACCTCCCTATATTCGGTATTTTGACGATTTTAGCGGTATTATTCTCCAGAAATGTTTCAAATTTTGTATTTTAAATTCGTAATGGATATTACAGCCTATGACAAAAAATTGCGTATGCAGGCCCACGTCTTCGTATAGCCACCATATATCACTACCTTCCAATATTCGGTATTTTGACGATTTTTGCGGTATTATTCACCGGAATTGTTTCAAATTTGGTATTTGAAGTTCGTAATGGATACTACATTCCACGACAGAAAATTGTCTGTGCAGGTCCATGTCTTCGTATAGCCCCCACATATCAGTATCTCCTGATATTCGGTATTTTGATAATTTTAGCGACATTATATACCGGAATCGTTTCAAATTTAGTATTTGAAGTTCGTAATGGAAATTAAAGCCTATGACAGAAAATTGTCTGTGCTGGGCTACGCCTTCGTATAGGCCGCACATAACGGTACCTCCCGATATTCGGTATTTTGATGATTTTAGCGACATTATTTACCGGAATTATTGAAAATTTGGTATTTGAAGTTCGTAATGTATACTACAGCCTACGACAGAAAATTGTCTATGCAGGCCCAGGTCTTCGTATAGGCCCCGATATAACGGTTCCTCCCGATACTCGGTATTTTGATGATTTTAGAGACATTTTTCACCGGAATTGTTCAAATTAGGTATTTCAAGTTCTTAGTGGATATTACAGCCTTTGACAGAAAATTGTCTATGCAGGCCCAGTTCTTCATTTAACCCAGATGTAACGGTACCTCCTGATATTCGGTATTTTGACGATTTTAGCCACATTATTCACCGAAATTGTTTCAAATTTGGTATTTGAAGTTCGTAATGAATACTACAGCCTATAAAAGAAAATTGTCTATGTAGGCTCAGGTCTTCGTATAGGCCCCACATAAAGGCACCTCCAGATATTCGGTACTTTGATGATTTTAGTGACATTATGTACCGGAATTGTTTCAAATTTGGTATTTGAAGTTCGTAATGGATATTACATCCTATGACAGAAAATTTTCTGTTCAGGTCCACGCCTTCGTATAAGCCTCGATATAACGGTACCTCCCGATATTCGGTATTTTGATGATCTTAGTGACATTATTTATCGGAATTGTTTCAAATTTGGTATTTGAAGTTCGTAACGGATACGACAACCTAGAACAGGTTCACAGGCCTTCGTATAGCCCCCATTAAACGGTATCTCATGATATTCGATATTTTGATGATTTTAGCGACATTATTCACCGGAATTGTTTAAAACTTTGTATTTGAAGTTCGTCATGGATTCTACAGCCTGTGGCAGAAAATTGCCTAGGCAGGTCCAGGTCTTCATATAGCCCCCATATTCGGTATTTTGATGATTTTAGCGACGTTATTCACTGGAACTATGTAAAATTTCGTATTTGACAAAAATTACCTATGTAGATCCACGTCTTCGTATAAACCCCAATATAACGGCTACGGCTATAACGGCTTCGGTATTTTTAAGTTTTTAACAAATTTAATTTTTTTGAAAATTTCCATATGGTGGAGGTTATTCAAAGTTCAACCAGGTCGAACTTACTGCTTTTTTACTTGTTTAAAGCCAAATTTATTGTGAGTGGTCACATTTGTCAGCGTTAATCCGAATAACAATGTGTATGTAAACGTTATTTTATGTTAGAACGGAAATCCTTTCATGCATCTTAATTTTCTATTTTAATTTTTTACATTCTCCAAACACTGTGCTGTTGCTTCCCAACTAAGTTCCTGATAATGCTCCGCTTAAAGAACTGTAAATCATTCGCTTCGTGCAGACATTAATTTACTTTCATTTTATACAGCTTGCTTCAGTCATTCGTTGGTTCTTTCGTTCGTCTCGTTGAACGTTTGCCTTTCTTTGGCAGGCAAGAAAGGTAAATACAGAGAGAGCTGTACAAAGGAAATATTTATTCGGGGGGAGGAAGAAAAGACTTACCGGTCTGCCGAGGGCTGTTGTTGGGCACCCAGTGTCGGTGGTGGGTGCAACTGGTTGGTGTGATGCGAATCCTTTGTTACTGCCTGCGTTTGGTGATCCTTATCCTTGGCATGGTCTTTCGACAATTCGACTTCGTCCTTCTTCTCTTTGTCCTTGTCACCAAGTTTATCTTTATTCTCAGTCATGTTGGCGATGGGATGCTTCTGCCTTCGTGGCTCGAACGGGACAAAAGAATAATTTGTTGAAGATTTACAGTACTTAGGCGACCAACAATGATGATTGATGTATTTGAAAGGCGATTTGCGATAGCAGAAGCACTTGCAGGCAAACGAAGTGTTGGTTTTTTATCAGCAAGATTTTCGATCAGGATTTGCCTTTGCTGCCTTTTTTTGTCTTCTTTTTATACAAATTTATATCCTTCCCTTGAGTGCTTTTACGTGTTAATCACAAAACTTTCAACTTCCTGTTGAAGGGGGGAAGATGTTAAACTGCAATTTGCCTGCAAAGAAACAAAAGCAGAGAAAAGAACAACAATTAATTAAAAATGTGTGTGGAACCATGACCTTTATCCCAGTGACGTCAGTTGATCCTTTTGTCCTGCTTCCGAACATTTTTCTGTAAAAGGTAGCTGAACAGATTTTGTTATTAAGAAATTAATAAAGACAAAAATCTAGTCTTCATTTGGGTCAAGTTTTTCTTCCGCAAAAAAGGGATAGGATAATGAAAGGATACAAATTATTATTTCATGTAAAACAAGGACTTCTATCTGTCACAAAAAGGAACAAACTTGAGTCTTGATTTTGTAACGGAACATTAGAAATCCATAATAACAAAATGTACCCTTGTGGCATAATCTTTAAGATACAAGGTTTTTAGATCTAAAGAAACCGCAAAATTGTATCCTTGAACTGTTTTATATAGATAATTTTGACAAAGGCTAGATGTAATGACTTGACCTTTGTAAAATCTTTTTATACAACTTTACTCGAAGGAAACTTAATTTATTGAAGCATATCTCACCGCAAGGCAAGGTAAGGTAATCTAATGCTAATATAGGCTGAGATTAAAAAACTGCAACCAATTTCAGACTGCTTTCATTTCTAAGCCACTCGTCCGACAGCTGTTAAAATTAGTCCAGTGACAGCTCATTATATTGTTTACAAGCGTACAAAAGCATCTTTGTGAGAATTTTCCAGAAAAAAAAGTTATTCGTGATGGAATTCAAGTGTGTTAGTGTGATTTCTTTATATTTGGCTGGAAAACCACAAGTGGCTATCGTTAGAGCACTCCAGCATTTAAATGTGAATAAGTCTTTTGTGTCTCGTACCATCGCCCGTTACCGGGATACTGGTAGCGCAGTCCGACGTCAAAGAAGAAAAGATAAAATAAGCAGAAATGGTTCGAAAAGTAAAGAAACGACTTGATCGGAACCCGCTTCGTAGTGGCCGAAAAATGGCTTGTGAGCGGAACATATCGCAATATTCCATTCGGCAAATATTGAAAAATGAGCTCGAGGAAAAGCCATTGAATTCCAAAAAAATGCAAGAACTTAACACAACAGAAAGATAATAAACTCAAAAGAGCTAAAGGGTTGCTTCGCTTGGCCGAAAGTGGTGAACTGCCACATTTGGTTTTCCCCGACGAGAAAACATTCGTTGTCCAGCAGTTTGCAAACAAACAAAATGATCGTGTTTACGTACCTTCGGTTGGCCACCAGAACTCAAGCGTGTGGGCCGCCAAAAAACTTCAACAAAGTAAAACGCCATAATTTTTTAACTTTATTGAAAGAAAGCAAAAAATATCGGAAATAGCATCACATTTTAGAATAAGTTTAGATTAGTTCGAATTGGTCACCTTTGGCACAAATTATGGCCTACAAATACCGAATTTTATCGCGAAAATATTCTGGAGAGTGTATTAAAGTCTTGGGTACGCAAACATTTTGGCCGCAGGCCTTTGACATTTCAACAGGACTCAGCACCATCGCACTCAGCACGTGACACCCTAGAATGATTGCAAGAACTTACACCGCAACAGAAAGAAAATAGACTGCCGGATTTGATTTTCTCCGATGAGAAAACATTCGTTGTCCAGCGGTTTGTAAACAAACAAAATGATCGGTTGGCCACCAGAACTTGAGCGCCGGCCATGGTGATGGTGTGGGCTGCCATAACACTCGATGGTCGCTCTCCGTTCCTATTAATCGACCGTGGCATCAGAATAAATGGCGAATATTATCGTGAAAATATTCTGGAGGGTGTATTAAAGCCTTGGGCACGCACACACTTTTTGGCCGCAGACCTTAGACATTCCAACAGGACTCAGCACCATCGCACTCAGCACGCGTCACCCAAGAATGGTTACAAAATAAGGTTCCTCGCTTCATTTCCAGCGCACATTGGCCACCAAAATCTCCGGATAACAATCCGTTGGACTATTGTGTCTGGAGTATTTTGGAAAGCAAGATTGGCACGAAGAAAATCAAAGTGTCGATCACCTCAAGCAAGCGCTCGCCGCGAATGTGCCAAAATACCGCAGAGCAACATTCGGCAATGTGTGACGGTTTTAATTGCCATAATTCGGGGCAAAGGTGGCCAATTCGAACATATCTAAATTTATTCTAAAATTCGATGCTATTTCCGAAATTTTTTGCTTTAATTCAATAAAATTTAAAAAAAATGTAACAATTATGGCGTTTGACTTTGTTGAAGTTTTTTGGCGGCCCACACCATCACCAAGGCCGGCGCTTGATTTCTGGTGTTCTGATGGCCAACCGAAGGTGCACATTTACAGCTGACCTCTTTGGCAAGTAAACACAATCATTTTGTTTGTTTACAAAGTGCTCGACAACGAATGTTTTCTCATCGGAGACGGAGAAACCCAAATTCGGCAGTTCACCACTTTCGGCCAAGCGAAGCAACTCTTTAGCTCTTTGAGTCTATTTTCTTTCTGTTGTGGCGTAAGTTCTTGTACTTTTTGGAATTTCAATGGCTTTACCCCAAGCTCATTTTTCAATATTTGCCGAATGTAATATTGCGATATATTCAGCTCACGAGCCATTTTTCGGCCACTGCGACGCGGGCTTCGACCAAGTCGCTTCTTTGCTTTTCGAACCATTCCTGCTGATGTTGCCGTTTCTGTTTTATTCCGTCCACTTCCTTGACGTCGTGCTACGTTGCCAGTATCACGGTAACGAGCAATGGTAGGGACACAACAGATTTATTCACATTTAAATGCTGGAGTGCTCTAACGATAGCCACTTGTGCTTTTCCAGCCAAATAAAAAGAAATCACACTATCACGCTTGAATTCCATCACGAACAACTTTTATTCTGGAAAATTTTCAACAAAATGCTTTGGTACGCTTGTAAACAATATAATGAGCTATCACTGGAATAATTTTAACATTTGTGAGGACGAGTGGCTTAGAAATGACAGCAGTCTGAAGTTGTTTGCAGTTTTTTCATCTCACCTTATAGTGCCACATATGAGATGATTTTGCGTGTTTATGACTTCATAAGATCTTCTACCCTTAATTCTAAGTTAGGTTATGTCATATTATCATAAAAACTTCTTAAGAAATACTTTTAATAATTAAATTAGTCCTTTACAATCACCCAATGAAGAACGTGCGTTTTACGTCTTTATTAGGGATCCATGTCTAACAGAAATTATTAAAAGATCATCGTGTAGATGGCGTTCAAGTTCTGAAACATAATTTAAGATGTCTCTTCATTTATAATGAAGTTCCACCAGGTTCTCTTCAAACTAACCGGAATCTAAATCAAAGGAAAAATGCGTCTGGTTGGACTGGCCTAGTTTATTTGAGGTATACAAAACGCTAACCATGAAATTCACTAAATTGAAGTATAGATGGTGTTATGCAACCGTTTTTGTTTCCTATCCACCTTCAAGCACTTTACCTTGCCTTACGTATTCTTACCAAAATATTGAGATCATAAATTTTCCATTTTCAAAGGACACTAATTGGTACTAATTACTCTCTTATTTCCATATATGTATACAGGGTTGTCCATATTCGACGGACCCATCTGGCAACGCCATAACTTTGGACAGAGATGTCACATCGCTTAATGAAATAGCGCGTTTGAAGCGTCAGTCCAAGCAGATTTTTACCATGAACCAATACACGCCACGCGACATAAAAAAATGTGAGAAGTGCGCCTTCTAAGAACACCATTAAGCGTTTATACGAAAAATTTTCGACTGGTAAGACTCTTTTTAATCCGAAGAGGCCATATAAAAGTCGACCAAGGCGATCGGCCGAGAATATCGCTGCCGTACGAGCCAGTGTTGAGAGGTCTCCAAGAACATCGCAAAAACGCCGTTCTCAGCAGTTGGGCATGGCTCGGTCCGCATTGATTTGCATTTGTTCTCGTACAAAATTCAATTGACGCAAAGAATGTTGCCTGCGGACAAGCCTCGTCGATTGGAATGGACCCAAAGAGCCATCGAAATGGCTGAAGATGACGAGCAATTTTGGAACAAAATTATCATGTCCGATGAAGCCCATTTCACATTGAATGGGACCGTAAATAAGCAAAATTGCCGTTTTTACGCCACTGAAAATTCTCAGGAGATTCAAGAAGTGCCTCTTCATGACGAAAAAGTCACAGTTTGATGCGGCATTAGTGCGAAAACGGTCATTGGGTCGCTTTCTTTTCAGGAGCGTTATCGCGACATGATGACCAATTTTGTGATGCCAATTATTCGTCGAAACAAGACGGCGCTCCATCGGACACAAGTCGCATAACAATCGATTTTCTGAAGAATTTGTTTCCGGGCCGTTTGATGTCGAAAAGTGGTGATTTGGACTGGCCACCGCGTTCGCCCGATTTGACGCCGCCTGACTTCTTCTTGTGGGGATATTTGAAGTCAAAGGTTTATGTTAACAAGCCAAGGACCGTAGAAGAGCTCAAGGACAATATTCGTGAAGAAATAGCCGCTATTCCGGCCGAAATGTTGGCAAAAACGATGGAAAATGCAGCAAAAAGGGCACAATACGTCATCAACGCCAGAGGCGGTCATTTGAGAGATATCATATTCAAAAATTGATGTAAACAAATCTACTTGGAACAAATGATTAACATTGCCAACCGCCAAATTTTTATTTTTTTCTTTGATTTAGAAAAAAAAAAAACATGGGTCCGTCGAATATGGGCAACCCTGTATTATTATAAAGATTAATTATTTCCCAATGAAAAGCATATAAGACAATATTACTACGCGATTTCTATTTCAGTTTATCAACAATTTTTCTTTCATTTTTCCATACCCACCATTCTATGGAGGGTATATTAGCT